TGTGTGTCGGGTGTGTTTTGCCATCTCTGATAAAAAGTAGTGTGCAGCCATGTCCTGACTGTCTCTGCAGAGGTATTCAGGACTGTCTCAGTCCTAAAGGGCGCTAGTACTAGGACCGGATCCAACCCACGACCCTATTCAGAAATAAACGGTATGGATAAGGAAATTTCAAAATATCAAGATAAATAACCTAACAATACTGCAGTATTATTTTCTAACCACATGGCCCAGCCCTGTCTGAACCAAACAGGTCAGATCTCCAACCTCTTGAAAACACAAAGAAATACAGAGTACGTCATATTTCACTATGGCCATATGCATATTTGTGTTTTGTCCTTGTATAAAGGCACATTTCTACAGTAAGTTCCTCCCATAGCTCTGCTGGATGTTTCACTGATTCGCCTGAACTCGGCTAAAATAAATAAATGAATGAATTAATAAATGAGTTAACTTAATATTCTGTGACAGACAAATGGAAACATAAGTCCTGCCCCCTTTCTCTCTGGAGTGCTGATTCATGTGCAGTCATCTTCAAACTATTTCTCTGAGGACTCACATTTCTCCCTCCAGAATGTATTTATGGGTTATTTAACATTTTCCAGGCGAGCAGGGAACTAAACTGAGTACATTTAGGCTCATTAAAACACAGTAGTGCATTATTTCTTATGTTCAAACACCAGGAGGAGTTTGGTGACCCATTTTCAGTTCAAGAAAATCTGAATTTAATCTTTCCTCACACAGTTGACTGCTTTATGCTGCTGTGCTGACGCAGAGGCTGTTATTTTGCCTGGCCGGTGTTGCAGGGACTCAGGAGTGATTCTGCCACATAACAATAAGGATTTGGTGACATAACACCTCATCCCTTTTCTCAAGTGTAATGTGAGAGCCATTTTATGATGAATGTGCCCCAGAGCCCAGACACTCGACTCGTACTGTTTGACTCTGGCTTCTTTCTTGGCTTTACAGGGACCCTCCTCGGAGACTCTGTGCACCTTTGCCCGCCTACATACATCTCTGGTATTCACATCAGGTGTTGCACATATTTATGAGTACCTGTGCCTGTGCTGTGTATTCAGCAAGATTAACACATCATTTGAAGTTAAACATCCACACAGATGTTTAGGCAGCTGCACCAGCATCGTGCCAGGAACGGTGGAGGAGGATTACTCCAGCACACTGCAGGAAAAACTGGTCGGGTGTCGGAACCCGCGTTCATTTGATCACCCAATGTTCATTTAGCTCAAGTCTAAAAAATATCTTTATTCTGATTTTATTCATCTACATTTTGTTTGTTTTAGTCAAGTTTGTTTGGTCTAATGTTGGGCATGTAATTTTAGTGCTTACGTCTTCCCTCTGATACGACAACCCACAGGAGTCGCCTGAAATATCGGCACTAAGGCGCCAGGTGTACTGGACCTTTGTTGTCATGGTTACAATAATCTATCATCTGTTACAGTTCACCAGTCCTACTGAACATGCAGTTCTTTAAAAAGTGTGTGTAGTTTTTATTTGCAGTGTTGGACACACTGTACATATACGTGCACATGTAGCCTGTTAAGTCCATCATTATTTAGCATCGGTCACGGTTTTGGACTGGAGTTTTTAGGTTGTGTGTGTCTGTGCAAGAAGCACTTTCTATATGTGAGTGAACACACACACCCTATATAGACACAAGGGTGAGCCTCCTGAGATGTGCACGTGAGATGTTACTGTGCTCTCAGTGTAGACAGTGAGTTCTGTGCTTCTGCCCAGTGTTGTGAGGACAGCTGCCACCTTTTGTTAATGGGCTATGAAACTGTTAACAGGCCCTGGGTACACAAACTGTGTGATACAGATACACAATAGAGGTAGACAAGCATGTTCAAACGCACAAGGCTCTCAAAGTGCTTTGGTAAGGCACAAGACAATTAAAATGTATAACTACAACCCCAAATCAGAAGAAGTCAGGGCGGTGTGTAAAGTCTAAATTAAAACTGTAAACAGTGATGTGTACATCATCTGTGTCCTGTCTCACATTGAAAACAACACAGCAGCACGTTATATGATGTGACACATCAACTTTATTCCTAGTTCAGTATAAACACTGACTTCAATCCTGATGCTGCAACACGTTCCAACAAAAGTCAGGACAGTGAAGCGTTCACCACGGTGTGATGCTGCCGTTCCTCTTCACGACACAACAAGACGTTTAGGGACTGAGGACACCAAGTGATTCAGTGTGTCAGGTGTCATTTTGTCCCCTTCTTCCTGTAAACAAGTCTTAAGGTGTCCAACAGTCCTGGGTCTTTGTTGACATCATTTACATTTCAAACTGTGCCACACTTTCTCTACTGAGGACGAGTCGGGACTGCAGGCAGGCTGGTCCAGCACTCGGCCCCTTTTCCTCCACAGCCAGGCCTTGGTAATGTGGCAGTGTGAGGTTTACATTGTCTTGTTGAAATCTGCATGTGGGTCCCTAGAAAAGACGTTGTCTTGAAGGCCGGATGGTCCTTTTGGTCTTTGGTCCGGAGCACACGGTGTCCATTCCTTCCAAAAAGACCTGAAACACTGATTGGTCTGACCACAGTGCACGTTTCCACTATGTGATGGTCCGTCCCAGATGCCTCTGAGCCCAGAGCAGTCAACTTCTGGACACTGTTGACACAGGGCTTCCTTTTGGCACAATACAGTTTTAAGCAGCATTTATGGATGTAACTACGTATTGTAGTGGCTGACACAGGTGAGCCAGCGTCATCCTGAGCCCATGTGGTTATACCGCTTATAGAAGAGTGATGATTCTTGATGGGGTGCCGTCTGAGGGGTCGGAGAGCTCGGTCATCCAGCTTAGGCTCAGCCCTCGACCTTTACACACTCAAATCCCTCCAGACTCCTTGAATCTTTAACGTTCTGCACCGTAGAGGGCGACAGATCCAAATCCCTCCTATCTTTCTCTGAGGAACGTTGTTTTAAACATTTCAATAATTCTCTCACACATATGTTGGCAAACTGGCGGTCCTCGGCCCATCTTTGCTGCTAAATATAGTTGTTTTTGGCAGCCTGTTTTAATTTTAGGTTTAGTCTAGTCTTTGTGTGAAGCTGTCATTTTAGTTTTTATTAGTTTTAGTCACGTTCATACTCTTTTTAGTCTAGTTTTAGTCGATAAGTGATGACATTTCAGTCTTATTTTAGTCAGAATTATCCATGACTATGTTCATCTAGTTTTGGTCGATGAAAACTGATGACATTTTAGTCTAGTTTTAGTCAATGAAAATTGTATTTTAGTCTCTTTTTAGTAATGCAGTTCTATTTAACCCAGTCAATATAGTGTAAGTACCTAGTAGTATAGACGAAACCAAAATTTTCTTTGAGCCAAACCCGTTTCAAACAAGGTTATCTTATTATATTATTGTTACCTTATAGACTCAAGAATACATCCAATACACATTTTGTGTGATTTTGTGGCCACATTTCTCCCCATCTTTTCCACAACACATTGTTTTCTTTTCCACTTCTATGTAATTAAAGTTTTTCCAAATGTCGTTTCTTCTTTTTCTCCCAATGACAAACCCCGGCTGACCGGCCATCGGTCCCTTTCTTTGTGTCAGACTTAACTTTGTTTGTTGTCGTCTTCTAAATAATGCCACGAGTGGGGCTTAAGGAAGTGATGTCACCTGTGTCTGCGCAGTGCGACCTGATGCGGCCCCTGAAGCGAGACACAGGAAATACTGCAAAATAATAATAATAACACGACTAAACGAGACGAAACAACGTTATAACATTTCGTTTCGTCCTGGTCAACAAAAATGAAGAGACATTTTAACATAGTTTCTATTTTGTAAACCACATTTAGTCTAGTTTTTTTTGTCAGTATTGCATTATACATTTTGTTATAGTCATTGTCACATTACCAGCATTTTCGTTGCGTCCCGTCTGGTTTTCGTCACGCGATAAAAGTTCGTTGACGACGATATTTAGTCATAATTTTCATTGATGAAAGCAACACTACTCCTAAAGGCCTCGGCCTTTCCTGGATGCCACTTTTGTACCAAGTCACACGTTTCAAATGGAGTCATCATGTCACTGTTTGACCTCGTTACTGGTCTGAAATGCAACCGGGCCCAACTTTGTTTGGAATGTGTTGCCGCATCAGGATTGAAGTGAGTGTTTATTTTGAACAAAGAATAAAACCGATCAGGTGTCACATCACAGAATGTGCTGCTGCGTTGTTTTCAATGCAGGACACAGATGGTTTACACATCACTGTTCTCAGTCTTAATTTTGATTTTATTTTTTGTCACAGTTTTATATGGAGGTATAGGAATCGTATTCATGGAGGTCATCAACAAATATGTTTTGTTTTCTGTCAAAATGAACGCTGCTCTCTCCTCCTGCTCACTGTCTCTCTCAGCCGCCTCCTCACCTCATCTCCACTTCATTCTCAGTTTTTCTCTCTCTCACTCGCTCTATTTATATTTGCATGCCTCTTCCTTTGGATGATGGGAAGGCAGAGAGGACAGATATTCCAGAGGGAAGCTCCACACCTACAGCTCCGAGTCGTGCGAACATTTTACTGGCTGCTGACAGCAAAGACAGCTGAATATGTAAACACCAACATGGCTCACATCACAACAGGCAGCCAACCATAGAAAATACATTTGAGACTTTAGAGTCAAATTCTAAAAATAGCTGATATGTCGTGAAGTCTGGCTGCTCTGACATGTTTTGTGTTTGTGGTGAAAAGTCTGATAAAAGCACCCTTTATGTCAACTGTAATTACATCAGAAATAGGCACCATCAGACACATAATCACGCTGGATACAGCTGATTTTCATGCTATTTTGTATGTAGATTAAACATGCCTCTTGCTTCTCTCAGTTTTAGCATGAATCTACACAGTACTGCACTTCTTTCCAATTAGCATGATGCATGAGAGCAAAGGGTTATCATGGATTAACAGAAGACAGGAGGGGATGGCAGAGATAAGAGAAGCCCTAGGCTGGAGGTGGATGGCAGGGTCTTACCTCCTCTCGTATTCTCTTCACCGTTTCCCCTTTCTGTGGACAGACAGGACACACACAAGGTGAAGGCTGGTTCTTACGCAGAATGACACTCATGTCTAGACTGTTATTAGAGTTTACAGAATGAAGACGTATGATGAGGTCGGGGGCCCTCGACTTTGGAAAATGCTTCCAGACGAACAAGTCAAGGCTCCAGACAGTCGATTCATTAAAACCTACTGTTTTAGCCTCACTTTGTGCAGCCCGACCAGCTGCACAGCCATTTTTATAGCTTTTAGTTTGAAATGATTTAATAACCCATAAAATAAAGAGTTGTATTTCTAACTTTTTAAAATAAAGCAATGTTATGTTTATGCATTTTTACCAGGGGGAGACCTGGTGACACTGTAAAAGCCGCTAGCTATAAGGCAGCAGGAACAGCAGGGAGAACCCAGGTGAGGACAATGAATCAGTGATGCGTTTTGCCTACTAATCAACAGCCACCAGGACGCCCCCGGGCAGCTCCACCACTGGAGCCGCTCAGCAGCTGCACAGGGCGGCTAACAGCTAGGACAGTTCATGGCCGTGACACTCGGTAAGAAGAGCTGCTCGGGAACATGGTCCCCACGATAAACACACATTAAAAGCTTATTTATGTGTTATGTTTGTTTCTCACTTTTACTCGGACTGAGCTGTATAATACACTCTGACGTCGACACCTGTCCTGTTAGGCCTGACAGGACGGCCGTCAGCCAGAGCAGCTCCTGTGGTGTGACTGCAGACCGACGCCGCTCACCACAGCTGTAACACACTTCATTATGTCAAACATTGCAAGCTGAAAGGCCACACACACGAGAGGGGGACACGTAATCATATGCCGACAGAAATCAAACCCAACCATGGGTTAGTGAATTGCTGTGGGGGTCATTATCACTCTTCACTTAGCTGTGATGCATTAGGGCTTTATTTAACACATGTACAGTCAAATTGACTGGCATCCCTGGAGAGCAGCTCCTTTTCAGTAACTACACACTGGAATGTCACGGCCCGACTGGAGGTTTTACACACTATTAATGCATATTTCATGGCAACGTCACATGGCTGTAGCGAGGTTATATTATCTGCAGCAGCAGGCCACTAAGAGAAAACTACAGCTTAAAGATGGCAGTTTATAGAAATGAGGTAGGGTGGTGATTTTAAACTCCTGACATTCAGGCTTTGGTCTTGCACACAGTAAAATGTGTTAACACAATGTGAGGACAGTGTTCAGTTCAGGAACAGAGAGAAACTGAAACTCACCTTGCCAATAATGCTTCCTACTTCCTGTGGAGAAAATACAAGACGGGTTACAGTCATCGTCCTCAGAGGACACAGATACGCAACGTGAGACAAACACATATTCCTTCTAAACAGCCAATCAGAAACTCTCATGTCTGTGGTTTTATTGAAGTAGAAAAGACCTGCTCACCTTTCCGTGCATGAGGAGGCGCAGTGTGAGCGTGACTCCCATGGCTCCTTCTCCAAACTCCTGTTCACAGCTCATGGTAGTGGTGGTGGTGAGGTGGGTGGAGGTGTGGGTGGACTCTGCCGCTGGGAGACGCATGAAGGTCTGAGGCCCCGAGGCGTTAAGGATCCTTCCGGAACACCACAGAGAGCCCTTTGGAGAACCCGGTGAGGAACCCCTGGAGCGCCTGGAGCTGTGAGAAGGGCGAGGGGAGGTTGGGCCCAGGGGCGGATGGCGGGGCGCTGCTGGAGGAGCCGGTGTCGGGGGTGGGTTTTATCCTTGCTCCTGTTTCTCTTTCAACTCTGAGGGAAGAAGGAAGAAAACAAGTGATGAGTTCAGTCTTAGAGGTCGCTGTGTGACACATGAATGTAATGTTTCTAAGTCACACCATCCTTATGGACTGATGCCTTCATCTAGAACCCAGCGTGTTGTGAGGCTCCGCGGTCTTCTGTTTTCCTGTGAAAACTGTAGCCAAAGTGTGTTACACCTCACAACACACAAGGGAAATCATTTCAGTTTGGAAGAGTCAGTGTGCAGTTGGTTGTTAACATGACAACACAGATTCAGACACCAGAGAAAAAATAGGACCAAAATAAAAACAGGAGCAGAAGGACAAAGGGGCCAGAGGTCACAGTGGAAGTGTCTTAAGATGCAGCAGCACTAATCAAACTGTGCTGAATCTAGAAAACAGCAGAGAATATTAATAATCCATTTTTTACAGAGCGCTTTTCAAGATACTCCAAGACGCTTTACACAGAAGAAAAATCCAAAACAAATGTACATGAAGTAGCAGAGGCCATTAAAAGCATCTCTAACAAGGGGAATCTTGAGCAGTGATTTACACTGGGACATGTTGGTGCAGTCAGATTTGTTTCAGGAGAGAGTTTCTGAGGGAGGGAGCAGCAGCAGTAAAAGTCAACCACTATGGTCTAGCTGAGTGGTCCTGAGCGACGGAGGTACGACGGAGGTACGACCAGCAGTATCGGATAGGGATGCACAGAATATTTGGCCACCGAAATGCTTTTATCGCCGAAACAATACGGCCAAAACGTTGTGATGACACAAACAAACTGCGACCTGCACGTGCTTGTCTGAAGCAACATGTCTGCGGTGTGGATGTATTTCAGTATATCTGAGAAAGACCCACTGGACAGTGATTTGCAAAACATGTAATGGCGAAATTTCAATAGGGGGTGCATCTGCAAAGACTTTCTCCACGTCGGGTCCAATTTATCACCTGAAATCCAAACATTCCGATCGCTACGCTGAATATGAGAGGAACGCGGCACAGAAAACGAAAGCGCCTCCGAGCACACCCACTCAGTCTGTGGTGGACGTTTTTGAAAAGGCAAGGAAGTTTCCCAGTGATGGTGTCAAGGCAAATGGCATTACACAAAAGATTATGGAATTCATTGCCTTAGATGTGTTTGAAGGCCACGATAGATGTGGGATTTCATAAGCTGATCGAGCACATTGAGCCCCGTTATGTCAAGCCGAGCAGATCTAAATGCACTTTGTTTTTATGAGAGAACATTTAACTTTACAACCTTTCAGCAGGCCAGTAGGCCTGTACATTATTATTTAATGTACACATGAGTGGGGTCAAGTTAAACATTTTAGTTAGAATTTTAGTACTAGAGATTTTAGTAAAGTTAGTACACAGTCAGACCATAAATGCAATGGTGGTACTAATAATTGGCATAATTTTTTTCCGTGTTTTGGTTTTCGGCCTTGGTTTCCTCTTTTTCGGTTTTTGGTTTCGGCCAAGAATTTTCATTTCGGTGCATCCCTAAAAGAATCCCTGAACTACTGTACAGTATGCTGGGTAGCCTCAATATTCTGACAATACCTGACATCCTCAGGAATTTTGTCCTTGAATGCATCTCTTATCTTAGTATTGGATGCATGGAGACAGCTGGACGGAGTGGGGCAGTGGAGAAGTAGGTGGTGTTCTGGCTATGGAGTGTGGGACAGGGAGCACAGGAGTGAGCAGGCAGAGCTTTGGATGCTTTATTCAGCGCTTGATGCTACCACAAGGCCTGCTGTCGGAGCGGTCGAGAAATCATGGATGACGGCAGCAGAAAGAAAAGCGATAGGCGGAGGCGGGCTCCTTTTGTCACGCACATCACTTCAACTGACCAAATTAACTTCATGTAATGTACGACTCAGTGACCTCAACAAGAGCTCACAGACATGCTAGCAAACAGAAAGCAGCCAGTGACGTGCAGCTTTGTGCAAGTTAAGTAACAAGCACTGATTGGCGTGCGCGTGCGCGGCCTGCAGCTGTAAACCACCACTGTGTTTTGCTTTATAGCCATGAGGGCTACAAGACATCTCATTGACTCAACATTCTCAAAGCACCGCAGGAGCGAGCCGCCTCCGTGCGAATCAGAACTGTGGAAATTAACATCATTTCTCAAGTGTCAGAAGCCAGTCAACAAGTCAGCACAGCCATTTAAAAATTAATTGGGAACTGTGTTTAAAAAGCTTAGGGGACTGAATTAAAGGTGGTTTCGGCCACAGACATGCCACTCAAGCATGATGATACCTGAGAATTTCCTTTTACACTGAAACCCCCAAAGAAAAACTGCAAAGCAGAGCCGACTCCGGCCAGTCCTGTGTACTAAAGACATGGTTTCACTCTTTGTTTACATACATGATGTATCCATGCAAGCGTGTCTGTCACACACATCTTCCATTGTTGTGTGTGGGTGTGTGTGCGCTGTCTGGAGAGCCGTCTTTCAGGCATCTGTCTCTATGCCAACCAGGATCATTAGAGACTTAA